TCTCAAGACTTGGGACGAGTGACTCTCGGTCTCTGCACGGAACGGACTCGATATCACACGGCACTAACATGCCGTCTCTCAGACACCCAGGTGCAGCAGACTACACGTCAGGCATAAACAATGACTAGCACAGACCTGCAGAGGTCGGTTAGTGCAGAATCAGAGGCATTCAGCAACCGTGTGAGATAGAAGCCGTGTACGTGACACATGGTGAGTCATTCACCTAGTTTGGCAGGCAGCACTTCCTGAGTGTTTTCGAAAAATTATTGGAATTTTTCAAAATTTTCGAAAAATCAAAAAATGCTGGAAATTGTCTGAAAAGCGCACAAAATAAATAAAATTTAATTTTTTTTAAAAAAATTGAATTTGAAATTTTTCAATTTTTTTAGTTTTGTGCTCTTCTTGGACGATTTGCAGCATTTTTGATTTTTTGAAAATTTTTCAAAATTCTCCCACCTGAAGCCTTGCAGAAGATGTCCCTCTCGCACTGTTTCTGATGTACTTTGTCTATGAGGAATGCGGTCTGTGCCTGACTCGGTCTCTGCATGGACCGGTCTCTGTATCACACGGCACTAACATGCCGTCTCAGGTGCGGCAGACTACACGTCAGGCATAGACAATGACCAGCATAGACCTGCAGAGGACGGTTAGTGCAGACTCAGAGGCAGGCAACAACCGTGTGAGATAGAAGCCGAATACGGTAGACACATGGTGAGTCATTCACCTAGTTTGGCAGGCAGCACTTCCTGAGTGTTTTCGAAAAATTATTGGAATTTTTCAAAATTTTCGAAAAATCAAAAAATGCTGGAAATTGTCTGAAAAGCGCACAAAATAAATAAAATTTAATTTTTTTTAAAAAAATTGAATTTGAAATTTTTCAATTTTTTTAGTTTTGTGCTCTTCTTGGACGATTTGCAGCATTTTTGATTTTTTGAAAATTTTTCAAAATTCTCCCACCTGAAGCCTTGCAGAAGATGTCCCTCTCGCACTGTTTCTGATGTACTTTGTCTATGAGGAATGCGGTCTGTGCCTGACTCGGTCTCTGCATGGACCGGTCTCTGTATCACACGGCACTAACATGCCGTCTCAGGTGCGGCAGACTACACGTCAGGCATAGACAATGACCAGCATAGACCTGCAGAGGACGGTTAGTGCAGACTCAGAGGCAGGCAACAACCGTGTGAGATAGAAGCCGAATACGATAGACACAGGGTGAAGCATTCACCGAGTTTGGCAGGCAGCACTTCGTGAGTGTTTTCGAAAATTTATTAAAATTTTTCAAAATTTTCGAAAAATCAAAAAATGCTGGAAATTGTTTGAAAAGCGCACAAAACCAAAAAAATTTAAATTTAAAAAATATTGAATGAAATATTTCAAATTTTTTGGTTTTGTGCGCGTTTTGGACGATTTGCAGTATTTTTTGATTTTTTAAAAATTTTAAATTTTCCAAAATTCCACCACCTGATGCCTTGCAGAACAGGTCCCTCTCGCACTGTTTCTGATGTACTTTGTCTATGAGGAATGCGGTCTGTGCCTGACTCGGTCTCTGCATGGACCGGTCTCTGTATCACACGGCACTAACATGCCGTCTCTCAGACACCCAGGTTCGGCAGACTACACGTAAGGCATAGACAATGACCAGCACAGACCTGCAGAGGACGGTTAGTGCAGACTCAGAGGCAGGCAACAACCGTGTGAGATAGAAGCCGAGTACGGTAGCCACAGGATGAGGCATTCACCGAGTTTGGCAGGCAGCACTTCGTGAGTGTTTTCGAAAAAGTATTGAATTTTTCAAAATTTTCGAAAAATCAAAAAATGCTGGAAATTGTCTGAAAAGCCCATAAAACCAAAAAATTGAATGTGAAATATTTCAATTTTTTGGTTTTGTGCGCTTTTTGGACGATTTGCAGCATTTTTGATTTCTTGAAAATTTTGAAATTTTTCAAAATTCCCCCATGTGATGCCTTGCAGAATAGGTCCCTCTCGCACTGTTTCTGATGTACTTTGTCTATGAGGAATGCGGTCTGTGCCTGCCTCGGCCTCTGCACTGACCGGACTCTGTATCACACGGCACTAACATGCCGTCTCACCGAGTTTGGCAGGCAGCACTTCGTGAGTGTTTTCGAAAAAGTATTAAAATTTTTCAAAATTTTGGAAAAATCAAAAAATGCTGGAAATTGCCGAACATGTCCTTCTCGCACTCTTTCTGATTTACTGCGTCTCTGACGAATGCGGTCTGTACCTGACAAGGTCCCTGTTCGGACCGGTATCTGTATAACACGGCACTACCCAGGTGTGGATGACAACTCGTAAGTCAGAGTTCTGCAGAGGCCGTTTAGTGCAGACACCGAGGCAGGCAGCAACCGGGTGAGATAGAAGCCGAGTCCGGCTGAGAGAGGGTGAGTCATTCACCGACTTTGGCAGGCATCTCTTGGGGAGGGTTTAGAATAAATATTGAGATTTTTCAAAATTTTCGAAAAATCACAAAATGCTGGAAATTGTCTGAAAAGCGCACAAAATCAATTTTTTTTACGTGAGGCAATCCCGCCCAAATGAGCGACAGTATCTGTCGAAGTATTTTCAAACTTCAATAACTCGGCTAAAAATAGACATAGCGCCGCCATCTTAGTCTCGTTTTAAAGAGATAGGATGAAAGTTTGTGCCAGTATCGCTCCGACATTCGTGGCGGCCCGACGTCGCGAACTGCGCACGCGCAAATTGAACCCACGATTTTCGACTTTCCGGATTCGTCACGTGTCCATAAACGGGATCATATCTCAGAGACTAATTATCCGATCCGAGTGAACCAAGTGTTGTTTTGAAGAGGAGTGTATGTGTTACAACTCACCCTGGCCTCTAAGTGTGTATCTCAAAATCGTAAAAAGATAAGAGGCCGTGAATTTGGAAAAGTTTGAAAATTTCCCGATTTTCTTAAAATGTCGCGATATATGAGGGCAAAGTAAAACCAGAATTACAAAAATTGGGCACGAATTCGTAGAGCACAAAATTCCAAAGAGAATGACACCGAAAACGCCGGGCCCGGACCCAAAACCAACGCGCAGTACTGCCGCGAATATATTCAACGTAAGCGCGCTCGGACAAGTCAGGCGGCATCTGACGAGCCTGGGTCAAGTATGGATGTGTACCAATTAAGAAATAAACATTTATAAAAATGATTATATTTACAATATGCTTAAGTTAAACTATTAATTATTAACTGATATTTTCGTTAAGAAAAAATAATATAAAAGAACATTTATGAATTTTTTCTTCATATGTAATAGTTCGATAGATGAAATTTTGAATTTTTGTTTTGTTTTCTTTATTAGATGAAAGTGTTGTTTTGAAGGTGAGTGTATATGTTACAACTCATCCTGGGCTCCAAGTGTGTATTTCAAAAACTCAAAAAGATACGAGGCTGTGAATACCTTCAGAAATTCTTTAAACTTGAACTAGTGAATGATTTGGACAAACCAACCACACAAGGGAAAACTTGTATAGATTTGACATTTGCAAGAGGTATTCAAATAATTTAAAAGCCATATGTTTTTTTTTTTTAAATTTTCAGTGACTGCTTGGGGCAGAGAGCTGGTGATGTAGAGCCCGTGTCTTGCAGAGTCCCTGTGCGGCAGAGTCCGGGTCTAGTAGAGACCGTGTTTGGAAGGACAGAGACTCGCTGATGTGTTCAGGTGTTGATCAGATTGTTAAAATTTTGTAAAATTTTCAAAATTTTTAAAAAATCAAGAAATGCTGGAAATTGTCTAAAATTCGCACAAAACCGAAAATTTTCGAAAAATGTGAAAAAATTTTGTAGTTGAAAATTCTAAAAAAAAAAAATTGGTCTGTGCACCATTTGGACAATTTCCAGCATTTTTCATTTTTAGAATATTTTAAAAAAATTGAATTTTTTTCAAAAATCTCCCCACCCGCTATCAGCTAGTACCGGTGTCTGCCGGATACGGTCTCTGACACACTCTGTCGGACGCTGTCTCTGCAAGGTCTTATCTGTGTATTACCGTTTCTGAAGTGTCGTCTCAACTAAGACGTAGACCGGCAGAGACCGGATGATTCAGTGATTGCCTGGGTCAGAGAGCGGGTGATCTAGAGATCGTGTCTTACTGAGTCTGTGTTGCAGAGTCCGGGTCTAGAAGAGAATTTTTGAAAATTTTCAAACTATCAAATAATGATGGAAATTGTCTAGAACGCGCACAAAACCAAAAAATTTCAAAATTATTTTGATTAAATTTTTGATATTGAAAATTCTGATTTTTTTAGTTTTGTGCGCTTTCTAGATAGTTTCCTGAATTTTTTGATTTTTTGAAAATTTTTCAAAAATTTGTAATTTTTTCTCAAATTTCTGCCCAACTGTTACCTGCTTGAACCCGTGTCTTCTCGACACTGTCTCTGATGCACACTGTTTCTGGCGGCCCCGGTCACTGCCGGATTCGGTCTCTGCACGATCCGGTCTGTGTATGTCCCGGTCTCCGATGGGCCGTGTCTGCTAAACCTAGTCTGGTGGATACCGGGTGAGGCACTGTTCGTCCGGCAGGGAACGGGTGATGCAGAGATTTTGTCTTGCAGAGTCTGTGCGTCAGTGTCCCGCTCTAGAAGAGACCGGGTGTTGCAGGACAGAGAGTAACAGAGACGTGCTGGTAATGGGGATAATTTTGAAAAATTTCAATCTTTTTGAGAAATCAACAAATGCTGGAAATTGTCTTGAACGCGCACAAAACCAAAAATTTTCGAACTTTTGAAACTTTCTTGATTATGAAAATTCTCGATTTTTTAGTTTTGTGCGCTTTTTGGGCAATTTCCATAATTTTTTTATATTTTGACAAATTTGATTTTTTTTTTCGCAATTCTCGCCACGCGTTCCTGCCAAACCCAGTGTCTGCCGGAACTGGTCTCTTCCGGATTTGGTCTCTACACTACCCGGTCTCTGACGGACCATCTGCAAATACCGGTCCGTCAATGAGCGAGTGAAGCAGAGACAGAGTCCGGCAGAGATCGTATGAGGCAGAGACCGAGTCGTGCGCAGATCGTATGTTTCAGAGACCGGGTCTAGCAGAAACCGTGTGTGGCTGAGATTAAGTCGAGCAGAGAGCTGTTCTGGTGATAATCGGGTGGGTAGAATTTTTTAAAATTTCACAAATTTTTCCAAAAATTTTGCGAACTGTCTAAACAGCGCACAAAACCAAAAATTTTCGGAATATTTGGAATTGTTTTAATTTGAAAATTTTCAAATTGGTTTAGTTTTTTGCGCTATTAGAACAATTTTTATTTTTTAAAAACTCTCGAAAAATAAAAAATGCTATAAATTGTCTTAATAGCACAAAGAACCGAAAAATTGTTTAAAAAAATTTGAATTTGAAACTTTTAAAAACTTTAATTTTGTGCTTTTTGGACAATTTGCAGCATTTTTTATTTTTAGAAAATTTTGAAAATAATTTTTCTAAATTTTCCCTACCCGATCCCTACCAGAACCGGTCTCTGCTTCACCCGGTGTCCGCCTCATCCGGTTTCTGACAGACTCGGCCTCTGCCCCATCCAATCTCTGTCAATGCCTCACACGGTCTCTGCTGGACACCGTCTTTGCAGAGACCGACCGTGAGGGACCGGGTCATACAAAGACCGAGTCCGGCAGTGACCGCTCTGTCAGAGATACGGTATGGCAGAGACCGTTCTGGCAGCTATCGGTTGGGGAGGATTCTCAAAAAATTTTGATATGGCTAGATACACGTGGATTGGAATGCCTTACATGTGTCTACAATTTCCCATGAAAATCAAAGAAAGGATTGAAATTTCTTTCGCAGACTAAATATTTGTTTTGCTGTGAACTTTCTGAAAACAATGTGTCTGCATAGCTAAGTTTGTATGGAAAAAATAATAATATACATATATATGTATATTCTTACATAAAATGTCCCAAAAATCTATAAACATTATAATGCGTAATATTTACCTTGCTACCTATCACCGTATGTTGTATTCACAATGGGATCTGAACTGTGGTCAATTTGAGTAGCTATATTCGCTAATTTACCAAGTTTCAATGTTGACATATGTATTGGTTTAGCTTATTAAATACTTTTATTTTATTTAATGTGTGTATAAACCTTTTTGAGACAACCTGTATATTGGTACATTTCCATCTTCCCTTTTCAACTTACAATTTGGCTGTTCTTTGTAAACATATATTTAGCCAACATGTGCCTTCATTAGACATTCAATTTCAACAACGTCCTTACTTTTGTCAAAAAAGTTGACAGTGGAACCACGGTTCCGGAGAGTTTGACGTAAATACGTCTATACGGAAAGGAAGTTTATATATTGGCTGTGGTAGCTGAATGTAAAGTAATGTAATGTAATGAAATGTAAGGTAAGGTAAGGTAATGTAATGTAAGGTAAGGTAATGTAATGTAATGTAATGTTTTATAGGTAACAACAATGCCGAGTAAGCAGATGACGTTTCCTAGGTAACAAAAATGCTTGAATGCTTAACTTGAATTAGTTACGCTTAAGATGGGTCTGTGGTAGATGAATGTTATGTAAAGTAATGTATTTTAATGTAATGTAACGTTTCCTAGGTAACAACAATTCCGAGTAAACACGACGTTCCCTAGGTAACCATTGTTACACTTCTTCGTTCCCCTTTTTCGTTCCACTTTTTTGCCTAATGGCCCTTCCTTATAGACGTATTTACGCCAAAAAACAATAAATGTGTGTACTCTGACACTCCTATTGGTTATTTTGGTTTAAGATATTGTAGGTAAAATTAAACGAGGGTCAGATTCAAGTCAAACGTAACCAGGAAACTAAGTTCTGTTGATCCTTATTTCATCCATGTTACTTCACCACATCATATCTAATCTCCAAGTTTTCAGTTCATACTAAATACAAAGTAACACTGATAGTAGCTGATATAAATAAGATTTTGTAACTGGCCTTTAGGAAACTAAGAGAATCGTCACTTCTTCAAGAAGCAAGAATATCTGGGAAAAGTAGTAACATGTCTTTAAGCGTCTTTATAATAGATTAGTCATTGGAGAGACCGTATTGTCCTAATACTTTCTTTTCAATTTAGAAATACTCGTTTACTGCTTATTTATTTTTTATACATAAAACCCACTGTCAACAAACATTTTAACAGAGGCTCCATTCCTATCCCTGTACCACTGCATGAAGGGTACAGGCACATTCATTACAGGCCTCGGCATTATATTAGAGGTTCATTCCACAATCTGACCACTTTGTACACAGGGAAAGTAGCAATGGTACACATCGAAAGGGAAGTTGAAGAGATCTCATAGCACTTAATGACTTGATTGCGAAAACAAAGGTTCGTATCCCTATCGGAAATTAAACACCAATCGATAAAGACGTAACTGCAACTTTATTGACTGAGTTACCCTGTCTCATAATATTACGCGTAATATAGGCATGAGGAAGGTCATTTTGTGTTCATTATTAAAGTCTTATTCCGTATCAAAAATGTTTCAAATGTAAGCTTCTTCATGAGATTTTTGTGTTGAACACATTTTCATACACGTTTGAGAATGTTTACAAAGTTTGATATTAATATGTGTTATAATAAATAGACAAATGACTCCATACAGAAGTCTTCTTTAAGCAGTTAATATTCGCTCAACCTGACTGTCTTTTATTGAATCCGAAAGTTAATTACTTTATTCGTAAGAACCTGGACCCTATCCTGAGCCAGGCGGCTATATTTTATACTTTTACAGCCTGTTTTCTTGAGATATGTTTTAATATTACTCTTTCATCTTCATCTTAATATCGTTTTATGTCTCTCTGTTTCAGGTTTTCCAACTAAAATGTTCCATACACTTCCTTTCTTCGTGGTACATGCATCAACCTGTGATCTGATCACCCTAACAATGGGAAGGGTACAGATTATGAAGCATCTCACGATGTAATCTTTTCCATCTTCTGTTAGTTCCCCTATTTCGGGTAAACATGTTCTCCTCAATCAGCCTTAATCCACATTCTTCCATGTGAGTCATAAATCCATTTTCACGAAACAAGAAAAGTAATCTTAGTTTTGTACATTTTAATCATGAAGTTGTTACATAGCAGAGTAGTAAAATTTATTTTCTTTTGTTACTGACATTCCCAGGTACTGCAACCACTACTGCCACAATATTTTTTACAAAGGTGAGAGAAGATAACTTCTGCTTTAACGACTGTGGCCGTAACAAGTCTGTATGATAAAAGCATGACGTAGCCCGAATAAAGGCTGATAATTGTAAAGATAACACGATCCACCGACTCGCATTTCTCTTCTCTGCCGTATTCTGTGATAAGTGAAATATCCGACACTGCTCGCTGGAATTCGTAATTTTCAATTTAAATATGGCTTTCAGAAAAAGCTGTTTCCTGTGGACAATAATCAAGTAAGTTACTTGTGAGGTTTTAAGTTTTACCTGTAAGATTCATGTTTGTTGTAGAGTCCTTCTGGGTAACTTTAACAAAACAAAAAATAAGCGACTTTAGGAGTCTTTCAAGAACAGAATAAAAGAATGATAGAGCTCTCTAACTACGAACAGTCACCCACCCAAATCAAACAATTTCAACTATTGCTGTCATTTGCAAGTAAGGACAGTGCAATCATGTTCCTACAAAACGTAAGTAAGTTTTATTATAACTGCACGTAATAAAATGTCCAGAGGATTATATAAATATGGTCTGTTTAAAAAACTCTAACTGTTGAACCTGCGTAGATTTGAATGAGAAATCACAGGCTAAACGTGAACGATAAATAGTAAGGACTTTCGAAATAACAGGATATATATATATTTTGTGAGAGCCGGGATATCTCAGTCAGTATAGTGACTAGCTACGGGCTGGACGACCGGGCTTCGATCCCCGACAGGGACAGAGGATTTTTCCTCTAGCCTCTGCGTCCAGACCGGCTCTGGAGCCCACCCAACCTCTTCTACAATGGGTACTGGGGGTCCTTTCCCGGGGGTAAAGCCGGCCGGGGCGTAATGCTGACCACTCACCCCCATCTAGTGCCGAGGTCAACAAAGAGAGGAGCTCACCCCAAGTGCCTGTATGGCACTTAGCGGGACAAACTTTACTTTATATATTTTGTGCAACCACCAGCCCATTTATAGCAATTAAATCAGGTGCGTAGAGAGGTCTGCGTCTAGCCATTATAACAGTCACGTAACGATGATTTTGTATGACGATTACAACACTGGCATATGGAGGCACTTACATGTCCATTAGTCACGCATTTTAACCACACTTTATAACATTCCCGCGTAAATGACCATATATGGTCTAAAGCTATTATAACTGTCAAGGCCATTACTATCTGAGAGCCCGCAGTGTGAATGCGAAGAAATTAAGCAAATGCTTCCATTTATTATTAATGTTTATTACCCGAAAGCGTATAACAGTCCTGATCGTTCGATGCTTACCGTTGAATATAACAAAACATATCCCTGAATCTATCATCTTCACCAACACTCGAACCCAGGACAATTTTCGAGTTTGTGACCTTAGATCCTGTACGCTCCTCGCCGAGGGAACTTTGTCTTGACATGCCAAGTTACCGAATAACTGAAAAATCAGGACTCAAACCCAGGATATTTTCTCTGGTTGATCTTTGTTCATGTAGTCCTCGACAAAATAACTTTTGGTCTTCGCGCCGTTCAACTATCGTGCTTAGTACCAGAACTACAGAAATCATCTTCGCCGGGAGTCAAACCCAGCACTATTTTTCGGAGTTGTGGCCTTTGTTTCTGTAACCTGCTCTTCGAAGTAAACAACTATGGTATTGGCACCATTATTTCAAGAAGCTTAGTTTCCGGGCCACAGGAACCGCCCTCACCTAGAATCGAACTCAGAACACTTTCCGGAGTTTTGACCATATTGTGTTCTTTTTCTGGTCTCAATGAATAACAGACAGTAAAATAGGCAAGAATGGAGACGTACAGCCAACAAAGTAGGCGACTATATAGGCACATATTTGGCCACAAATTTCGGAAAGCAAATGGGCGTATATATTACGTGAACTACACAAAATTCCAAAGGCATGTCTCCAAAATGAACCTCAATACGTGATTAATAGAATGGCTACACAGGGGCCCACAATTAAACAGGCTACATAGAGGCCCCCCACATATAACCGTTTCAGTGGCTATATATGGGACCCCACACATGACCATTAAAGAGGGTGTGCGGGGGTCTCCATAAATGCCCAATGTCAGGTCCGCTTACAGAATCAATGGAACGGATATAGGGCACTCCACACAGATCCATAAGAACTGTAAAGAAAGGACATTCATAAAGGTCCATTCGAAAGGCTATGTGGTGGTCCCCACATATTTTCATTAGAATATCTATGCAGATCACTCCATACAGGCCCACTGCAGTGAGAGTCCTCCTTCCAGACCCATTACAGTGGCTTAAAACGACCACCTCATGAGTCAATTACAATGGCTTTGGGAGGGGGGCGGGGTCCTCGAAAAAGCCTATAGCAGTCTTCGTATAGGCCCGTTTAAATGGCTATATGGGGACCTCCTCACTGCCCGATTAGAATGATTGTATGCGGACCCCCATGCAAGCTCATTAGAATAGCAACTTTACGTCTGCTATTGGAGCTCCTAACAATCAACTTGAGCATCTGACAATCTCAGAGGAAACGTGAGGCTGTTCTGTTTCAGGTGCGACCGCCGCTGACCATCCGTCGATCCATCAGTCAGTCTGGAGTCCGGAAAATGGACCATGTGTAATTCAAACAAGGTCTCTCTTCCCGACTAAGTACAGCATCCATCAGGTAACTTCACAGAGCCCAATCTGTTGTTCGCCCGTTTTGCCACAATCCTCATGAGTTTGACCCTGCCTCAATCTCCTGGCAGCACCCCCGTCCATAAGGATCTTTCGGCTTTCCTTATAAGGGTCCATTCCTCGGTCATTTAGCTCTTTAAAAGCCGACTTGTCTGGGCTATAAGATCTGTCAACTCACCGAGAAACCCATATGGCGAGTGAGAGATCCTAACAGAATAATGACAGTAGTAGGATGAGAGAAAGGATCTTTGCAACCATTTAACAGTCAACTTTACATCCTCTACCGAGCGTACTTAACGCGATGCTGCCCCATAATTTACAATTGGGACCTCCACATAGGATACCAATCAGTTTTCTTGAAGGTCACTAGAAGTAACCTTAGTAGTTACCTGTTTTAAACAGACTGTACCTATGATCCGACAGTATCAGACACATGACATTTTCTGACCAGATTTCCTGGTTTCCAATCAGTCCCTTCTATTGCTTGTCGCAAAAGAAGGTTCGCTACCCTGATCAGAAATACTGTGATCAGAACACGTCAAATATTCCACCAAACTTTATCATCTTGGATTGAAATCACTGTTTTTCCACAAGATGCAATGTTTCCTCCTGCTGCTACAGGAATGAAAGACGACCCTCAAGTCTCAGGGAAGATACGCCGAAGTCACAATAAGACCCCCCCCCCCCCCCCAGTTCTCTTGACTGCTCTGTGACAACTTTAACGTTTCCTCTTCCATACGACAGATGAAAGAATAATTACCAACCACAAAATCTGAAGCGGGCGAAAGGAATTGTTAGGATGGTGTACTGCCTGAGGCACTAAGGTATAATTAACGACCTGAATGCCTCGCACCTTTGCTGCGGTGTACCAGAGCCCTGTTCGTCGTCCAAAGACGTTACCCCCACCCCCTCCGCGACGAGGACGCCAAGGTTTGGATTTTGGACGGGTGGTCTTCGTAACACAGATGCGTTACGTTTTTTTGCGATACGAACTGACTTTTCAACTAATTTACATGACCTTCGTGCTTCAAAGAGTTAAGGCCGAGCACACAATACTTTAATGAAGTAATGGATTACTGGAGAGGAAAATACAGAAAAGTAAATATATTTTTCACCAACTCATAATTTACTTATTATATGTCAAACGAGATTAGGTCATAAATAACCTGCATACAAGTAGCGAAAATGTATCTCTAAAAGTTCACCAATGTTAACAAAAATCCACGTGTCGGAGAAAAATTTTTGTCTGCTGAAACTGCATCACAAACGAGATTTGCTATGCTTGAATCCCTTCAATGTACGACAAAAAGGTGCAGTTTGTCCACTGATACTTAGGTATCTAAAGGAGGAGAAAGTCTGATAACACTGATAGCGCTGTTTGTTTAACAGAAAGGTGCTATCAGTCAGTGCGGTTGTCACATGACAAGTTTCAGGTTTAGAGTCAAGTAAGCCCGGAAGACAACTAACAAGTCTATTTTATTACTTTGGGTTTCATCCATCGTATGTTGAAAGTTTTAAAATTGTCTAAAAAAAGTCACGCTTGGAAGGCTGCATTTTGCTTCGTCTTTTATAGTCAGAGAGTTTTGGGAATAGCTTGGTCTACTGGATCCAACATAATAGGTGTCTGGCTCTGTACCTAACAACGCAGGAAGATCCATTCTTCGAAATGTAGATTTTAAAACAATTTAAAAACTTCCAATAAACGATTGAGAAAGTCCTAAACAAATAAATTTGTTACGCAATACCATCACCAAAAACATACGGGGAAAAACAAGCAATTCTGTATTTAAATTAATTAGGCCTATACATATTAAAAAGTTCTCACGAAACGTCCGAAACACCTTGTAAACAACAGTGATAAATTGTATAGCTACATCATTTTGGAATAAGCTTACATATAGGTTAGCCCTCTCATTGCGCTTCGTTCATTGAAGACACAAATAGACTTACATCACGCTGCATATGGCGCTCCTTTATTTAATTTCTTCTACCACCAACTAACACCGCTAATACCAAGACCTGCCACCGAACACGATCTTTATCAAGTTTAATCTTCCACAGATGGCTGTCGTCTGGGTTATAGGGCCTCCATCATCAGGGCGATGAGTCATCGCCCTGATGATGGAAGCACCAAGGAACTCTGACACTAAACTTCTACCAGACTACAACATGGCGTTACAACCCAGATGTTAGTCGTCTTCGGACTCACAGCCGGGAAAAACTCAAATCCTACTAATCCACCGTACGTTCCCACATACTAGTTCTAAAAAATGCACCGTAACTTTATTCTCCCATCTCTTTCTCTGTCTTCAAAATGGACGTTTCCCAAGATGTTTCCGAATCAAAACTCTGTATGCATTCATAGACTCCTTTTTCTATCCTAAACACTTCGATCTCACAATTTTTATAATAAATTAGGCGTGCTGAAGATCAAATATACGGACAGGAACGATGTCTTATTGTGCTTTAATGTTATTCAATTCGTGTATAGAACGCATGAAAATCCACGAGTATAAACTGTTGGCTTCAGCACGTCCACTGCATAAAGGATAAGTTACTGCCAGAGTGTCTGTAACCTGTTCCTATATGAATTCAGGTAACGGAGTATGCTGTTCAACATGGCTCTCGTTCTGGACAGTCTTTCAGTCATCATCCTATGGATAACAATGGTCAGTGCTTCTGGAACGTGTCCATGGCACTGCTCCTGTGTCCTAGAGGAACCACCGATAACAGTCAACTGTTCCGACCTGAGCCTCAATAATTTCCCCGCAGACATCGACACGAGAGTAAGTTCTCAGGAAACCTGTAGCAGCCTCTCTTAGTTCTAAATTTAATGACATTCTGGTATGCTTATCATGATAAAATAATTAAGTCCAAAAACACTGCCGTTGAAAATCTAATAATCGCTCACCAACAAAACACTGATCTTCGCTGCTTAGTGGGCTTAAACGCTGTGTTAAGATGGAAATTCTTCGGAGTTACACAGTGATAAAAGTGGCTGGTGATACAAATTTCCTTTCCGATGCCTTACAGTACTACAGAAACGAAATAAATGTAGAAAAACTGTGCTTAGTCAACGACTTGTGAGACATGGAATCAGAAATCTGTTCCAGTTTCTTTTGCAACTCCAACAGGAACTCCAGTAGTGGGTTAATATGATAGAATTTCTGGCTGTAGAAATAATCAGTTCATTCACCCATTGCCAATTCACAGACATCAAAATGTCAGTCAACTAAAGTAACTATATAATGTACGAGCTATATATTTCATAAACTGTAAAAGGTGCTCAACAGCTATTCCCATTTGAGAATAACTTTGCATACAAAGTAAATATGTTTTGTATATAGATTAAATAAAAACGTATTTCTATGCACTGCAGGTGCAATGGTTGGACCTGACGGACAACGCTATACAAATTATTCCAAACCTCGATAAGTATACTGCACTGGAAGGTCTGGAACTTGCCCGGAACAAGATATCACGGATTTCCACGACGGCGTTTAAAAAACTTACCCGCCTCAAATATCTCGACTTATCGCACAATTCATTCACAGACTGGGCACATATTAACCCAAAAATTCTTCTTCAGACGTTGTTAAGGCTTAAAACTTTAAAATTCTCACACAACAACCTCGCGATTTTCACTGGGAAGGAGAGTCAAATGAGAGTGACAAGTTCGTCCCTGGAAGACCTCCAGCTCAGTTCTTGTGGCATCAGACAATTCGATGGGAAGGCCCTGATGGGGTTCAAAAGACTGCAGAATCTTGACCTGTCATTTAATCGTATCAAGTGGATGGACGATCTTTCATCTCCGACGTTAACAACTCTAGACGTGAGCTACTGTGACATAGATTCCATGAATCCAAATGCATTACGTAACCTCCCATTTCTCACCACTTTAAAACTGTCTGGTAACACTCAATTTGCAGTAAATCATGGTAACTTAACGTCAGAGTCTTTGCAAGTTTTTGAAGCCGCATACTGTAGTCTTACAATGCCTGGACTTCACGGGTTCCCAAATTTGACATACGCAAATTTGAGGGGCAACAAAATTGTAACCCTAAAAGAAAGAACATTCCTCAAAAACAAGTTTCTAGTTGAACTCGATTTGTCAGCAAATGAAATAAGGGACATACATCCACAGGCATTCATAGCAGCAAGGGAACTAGCATTTGTCAACTTGTCAACAAATTCACTACAGGGAACCCTTCCTTGGAACGCTTTCTCGACAAATTACAACCTGAAGACACTAGACTTATCTGTGAATCGTCTCCAAAGTGTTGGAAATTTAAGTATCTTAATGCTTGAGAATTTAGACCTAAGTCAGTGCCAGATTAGAGAGATAAGCAAGGACTCTTTAACAGGGTTACCTTGGTTGGCACATTTAAATCTTTCTCACAATCCATTAGAAAATATTCCAGACAACATCCAATCATGGAACTTGAGAGATCTAGACCTAAGTTACTGCAGATTGTCACTGCTCACTAACGAAACTTTCAAGAGATTTCCTGAAATTGGAAGTATTAATTTAATAGGAAACAGATTCATAAATCCATTCAAAATTAACATGTTTGATTATAATGACCGTCTCGATTCATTAAAACTTGCAGATAATCCCTGGATTTGCGATTGTTATTCAGAAAGTTTCAAAATATTTTGGGAATTTCTAACAAATTACCCAGTAAAAGTTACACAGTCAGAACAAGGTGATATAAAATGCATGTCACCAGATTCTCTAGCTGGGAAATCTTGGATAAAAGCATGCCATCAGGTATGGTATCCATCTGATGAGGCAGAAAATTCATTTGGATTAACACACTATGGCACTGCACTTTTAATACTGATAATAACAGCTGCAGGGATCTTTGCTATTGTTGGAGGCATTAAACATAGTATTAAAAAGCGAATGAAAGAGGAACATGAAGAAATACAGAGCGAAATGGGCCGTACTTACGAAACTCATTCGAGAGTCGAGTTTCAGCAGCGGGAGAATTTTGATTTTGGTACTCCAGGTTCACCAGAGTTGAGGCCGCCAAGAACCACTGAACGCGAGAGGTCAGAGAGCCAGGCAACGCAACCACCGACATATGAGGAGGCAATGGAGATGCTGAGTGGATCCAGAGAAGACATTGTGTCAAGGGCAGGAGTGGAGGATAGTGTGGACAGTGAACAAGATAATGATTCAATGAATAGTAACAGTGAAACTATACACTCAGGAGAGTATTCAGTAGGTAGTGATGATAGTGACGATGAACGAGGTGCTTCCAAACCACTGAGTAAGCATACTAAATAAATGTGCAATACTCTCCAGATTTAATTCTTCCCTTATTATAAAAATGTGCACAGTGTAACATCAAATGAAGTAACAAGTGACAGAATCAAAAATAAAAATGATTAAACTCTGTAACATGTGTAATGCAATGTCATTAGTGTTTTTATTCACGCAGTGATTCAAATGGAGAGACAAAATCAGTTTGTTGTCTTCACTTGATTCAGTGCCATCATTAACCTCTAAAGCTTTAATTACTGGTCAGATCCATCGCTATTTTCCACCCACACAAGACTGCTTTTGTAATCTAGTTACATGTCAAAATGTGAACAAGCTACTCTAAAGACATATGAACAAAATGTTTCTTGATTGTCTCTTAATTGCAAGTGCAAATGCCTCAAAATGAACAATATCTGTTTAGAGATCTGCCACATTACTTGACTGTAACACTCGCCACTCCACTATGCATACAGCATACTCTAAAATTTCTTGTCATTTGACTGGCCCACAGGTTTGTCTTTGGGGACTGACATTACATAACAGAAGTTTTAAAAAGTGTGTAAATATGTGTGTGTGTGCAAGTATATTTATATTCATACTCTGTTTTTCTCCAATCTGTTTAAACATAAATACACATGATTAATACAGCAAATCATTACACACCTATTTCAGGTATAGGCCTATTTAAAGTGATGAAACCAAAAACAAACTGCATAAATCTTATTGTAATTTTATTATACAACTGCTTATGTGATGCACGTGAATGTCAAATTTTAAATAACACAAGGTTATTCAGTGCACAGCTCAGTCTGTCTTCTGACCTGTGCAAAGACCTACATGATGGCACATAAGAACTTCATAAACTGATATAAATATTGATTTATATGGAGTTTGCTAATTGTATAGTTTTTCACCTACAACAATAATACTTAGGTATTGTGTCTTACCATCATGGCCTACACCCACCCTGCTAGAATAAATACAGAAAACAATATTATTTTAAGAAACCACCCAGTGAGCAGGATTCCCATTTAACTCATGACAATACAATGACAATGATGATGATGAAAATAATTATGTTCAGCTCATAAGACCTAGTGGTTAATCACAGTAATCCCTCTGTGAATTGTTGTATCTCCAGTCCTCAAGTATTATTCTTTCCTTCTATAAACCTCTTAAAACTCTGCACAGCCTCTGATATGCTGCATATCCTCCAGCTTTCATAATTTCTGATGATATTTTATCTTCTCTTCTTGCTTTCCATCTGCCATTTTTCTCATTGTTATTACCGCGTCTAGCAAACTCATTTCTTCCCTCCCTTTTATTTGCACATCTTCCTGCACACCAAATTCTTGCTTTGTTTCTTCCTCTGTCTCACCCATTAACTTTTAGAAAAAGCTTCATTATCAATCTAAAATATATATATATTTTATTTCCACCTTAGCTGCTCTCGGTTGTTCAAGATTTTACATTTTTTTTTTTACATAATTTCTCTTATTCTGTGTTACTCTATATAATAAATGTCTTTCAAATTTTCTAAAGTATTTAAAAATTGTTTTTGTAACTACTTTTCAAGAAATCCGAACACTTTCCCCATCTTTGCTCATTTTCTTCTCCTCTATCTTCAAATCACTTTTTCCACGTCATACTTATCTCTTTTACTGTTTCTGAAATTTTGTTGTTCCACCAAGACATTTCATTTTACCTTTCCTTGCTGATGGTCACCCACATATCTTCTCTAGCTGTTATTAGTGTCTCTTTAAACAGCTTCCATTCTTCTTCTACTGTCCTGATTTCATGGTTTCATATTCTTCATTTTATCTTGATTTTAATTCTTCTCCAATTCCCTTCTTTTGTAGTATAAATATCTTAATTATTGATATTGTCCTTCTATCTCAATTATTTTAAAATTTGTACAATCTGCTACCTACAGTCTGTGGCTACAGTCAAAACTGACATTAGATTTAACCTCGATATCCTTTTCTCTTTTGTATCACATATTAAAAATAGTTATATGTATCACAAGGTTAATTGCAGAAGAGCAATATTACAACCTCAATTTACAGCATGCTTCAAAAATACATATTTTTTGTCATAATTTATATTCTAATTACAATATCCAAAAGAGATACTATTTTGGAATCTATAAGAATTGTTCAGAGACTTCAGCTAAGCTCTAAACCTTTTCCAACTCACAGTAAAGAACAAAGAAATGTAAATGTTGTACTGCTACATTAAATAAAGCATTGTGGTTAAAGATTTATGTATTGGTCTGCTACGCCAGAAAAATACCCTTCTTCATACGTCTTTTGTAATAACTGCTGTCATAACTTCATAATTAAAACAATAAATTATCATTATTAAAAGAAACACAAATGTCAGTCTTATAAAATATTTAACCTTATTCAGCATTAGGTAACTGTGGCAATGGTGAAACGTAGAAACTAGTCCAGTTTTTCTCAGCTGCTTTCACATCGGGGCACAACAAAATTAAGTTCAAAACCCTATGGCACACCAAATCATGTACATATGTATGCATGCATGAACTGTGTTCATATTATTCTTTGTACTTTGTTATGCTTTTCATTCATATGTTGTAGAAAACTAACAAACAGCAGCACAAGCCAATGAGATAACAAAACAAGGCTGAACACATTCTCACACTTCTCAAAGTACTGAAATGTACAGAAATACATTATTTTAAATTCAAAATGTGGCCCATTCAGACTCCTGTTGCTACCAGCTGAAAAAAACACATCCTCAGAAGACGACTGGAACCCTTCAAGGTCAGAATGTTGTGAAACACGTTTATCCATGAATAAGCATTCCATGAGAATAAACAAACTATAAACACCAAAACAGACTTTGTCTAACAAAAGTTACAGAGCAATTTTCTTCAGGTATGATCCTTCAGCTTCCATTTTTAATCGATGATCCAACTATGATTGAAAAATTAATCATCCAGCAGTCCTACATACTTAATAACAATGGATCCACTCAACAGTTTCTGCTGTTGATAAACAGAATTCAGTATCCAACCCTCTATACTAAGAGATCATTTTGGTTGACTGAGGTTACAGTTTTGAAAAAATAAGCATTTTTGAATGGTCTTGTTTCATATGTTTCCCATCTGATAATTATACACTTTCGAATATTCAGCGCCAGGAACTATAAAAAAACATTTTCCTCTACGAGATCTGAAGTTCTCACAGTGGTGAAGATATGTGGACTTGCAGATATCTACCTACAAGTATTTTTCTTATTCATAAATACAAAAAATATAATTTACTCTCCAAGACTTATAATTGTGAATAAGTAAAGAAAAAGAAATGCTTCTAGTCCTCATATTTAACCAATTTTAACCCATTAGAATACTTCAGTGGCTATGAGACATCTGCCACTTGGCTACACTAACACCAAGATGAGAGTCAAAATAGCCTATGTAAGAATGTAAACAGATGTAGAACTATAAATAATTACTTTAATAAAATTTAAGCAATTATTTTTAAAAATCTGAACTTCATTTATAAAAGTATTTTGAGAAGTCTAAATAGTATGTCAGTGAGTTAAATAAAATTCTGATGTTAAAGTTCCAAAATATACATGGAAAATTTAAGTCACTGAATGAATGAATACTCTTTGGCAGAATAAATCCCAAGATTGGAGGGGTGAAACTCCTTACAACACAATTAATCTGATTATTTCTAATGTTTTTGTATTGTTCTTGAAAACAGCTGACTGCTGCACTCCAGAATCACCGGTTCAGACTTACTATTCATTAACAGAATAACATCTTTCAAGGTTATTCCTCCAGATATGAAAAAATTACAACTCCTAAATATTAACGTCTTATGTATGTGACAATGTTTGGCTGCTTGTTTATAAAAACAGGTGTTGTAGTGACGTGTCTTACGACAACTCTCACAGGAGATGCTGAATACAACGGAGTAGACTGATTTTCCTGTGCCCTGCCATGAACTGCTGACAGACCATCACTGTTTCCATTTCCACTGTTGCAAGGATTTTGATGAAATGGGTTCTTCACTGACTGGTCTGCACTTTGAGCAACAGATTCTCCATATTCCTTTGGAATAACAGCTTCTGGGAGACAATTGCTGCTATCTTGAGACTGAGATTTGAAAGGGTTATTTGACACATTTAAAGGTTCCAGCTGACTTTCAAGCTTACTGAAATCATTACCCTGCTTATTATGTGAATCATGATTTTCTTCAAGCTCTTTCTGATTAAGAACACCATTTTCATTTATTCCAGCCTCCACTTCATGAGTTTCTTCAAGCTCTTTCTGATTAAGAACACCATTTTCATTTATTCCAGCCTCCACTTCATGATTTTCTTCAAGCTCTTTCTGATTAAGAACACCATTTTCATTTATTCCAGCCTCCACTTCATGAGTTTCTTCAAGCTCTTTCTGATTAAGAACACCATTTTCATTTATTCCAGCCTCCACTTCATGAGTTTCTTCAATCTCTGCATTACCTCCTTTATCTCCTAACAGTTTAGAATTACTTTCATCTGCTTCTGGATGTGCTTTAGGATAAATACTACCATTAAATTCTTTCCCTGGCAAGAGAGTTTTCTTTATATCTGCCATTTCAGTTTCTAAATCATCATTCTTTACTTCCTGTGCATTCCGCTGCCTGCTCTTGACAACTGAGTAACCAAGAAGAATAACTATTACACCCATGATGACACCCAAAACAATATATGAACCTGTTGAAGTCTGAGGTTCTTCAGAATCATGAGGTTGAGATCCAAAATTAGGTTCATTTATACTATTACCATTATCTTTATCTCTAATTTTGTCTTTCTGTAGCTGTGGCCCAGATACAAGAGTGTTATTTTCAGAACCAGGGGCTGATTTGGTTAGAATATTCTTATCTATTCTTTCTGAGTCTGAATCTTCTTTCTTGTCATGATTCTCTGGTATATCAACCTTTGGGGCATCAGTCCTGCCTTTATCTTCAATGTCATCATGTTTATGACTTATTTCTGTTGTTTCTAGGACTCTTGTCTCTTCAGTTGATGTAATGTCGTCAAAAAGTTGAACAGCTGATAATGGCCTAAATGACCTTGCTCCAGGGTGAACACGTTCAGTTTTAATTTCTGTATCTGATTTTGTGGTACTTTCTTCCAAGTCTCCACTTCCTTCCATATTGAGGTTTTGACCCCTTGTGACATCTGATTCTTCATCCCATAACACAGGTTTATCAGATGCATCTGTATCAGAAACATTATCCATGATGACAGATCCATCATTATCACCATCATCCTTCCATGCAGACATTCTTTCTGTAGAATTTCCTGCTCCTTCAGACAGCTCTGAATTATCTGTTTTTGCAGGATATATTCCATCAACATCATCTTTATTATCATTATTATATTTAACATCATCACTTTCAGGAAGGTGAATTCTGCTTGCTCTTATACCAGAAGGAGATAGTGTGCTGGAGATTTCAGTTTCATCTTTCACTTCACTGTTTTGATCTTCTAATTCTGTCTCATTTACATGTTGCAGAGCACTTCCATAGACTAATGCAGCATTTGCCATTTCATAGCTAACATTTAGTGAAAAATCCTTATGAAATGTTTCAGTTTTTTCAGTAGTCTCTTCTTCATTAGCTTCAGTAACTTCTTCTTCACTTTCATTATCATGTGCTGCAACAGGATCCTCTTTAGAATCATCTGATTTATGTGTACCTTCTTCAGAATCATCTGATTTATGTGTACCTTCTTCAGAATCATCTGATTTATGTGTACCTTCTTCAGAATCATCTGATTTATGTGTACCTTCTTCAGAATCATCTGATTTATGTGTATCTTCTTCAGAATCATCTAATTTATGTGTA